CTCTCAATTTTAAGGTTCATTTAGCAGAGGTAAATAGGTACTGACAATGATATTAAACTAGAGGCCCAGTGCATGAATTCGTGCACCAGGGGGTCCCTCTGCCTGGCCTGCAGGAATTGGGCCAAAACCAGCTCTCCTACATCCCCACTGGTGCACAATTGGGGCTGGGGAGGGACGTGGGAGGTTGGCCAGCTGGGGAGGGACTGCAGGAGGGCTCCAGGGTGTGTGTCTGGCCCACCTCGCTCAGTCCCGATCGACCGGACCCCAGCAGCAAGCTAACCTACTCATTGGAGAGTCTTCCCCCTGGTGGTCAGTGCACATCATAGCAACTGGTAGACCAGCCAAATGTCTGCCCCCTAGTGATCAGTGCACATCATAGTGAGCGGTTGAGCGGCTTTAGCATATCATTAGCATATTATACTTTAATTGGTTGAATGGCCAACCGGATGACTGGACACTTAGCATATTAGACTTTTATTATATAGGATTTACCATAAAGCATCTATACTTAGTGGTTATTTCAGTCCTCCAAAAGTGGATTTATTTTACCTCTTTGTCTCATTGATGAGGAAGGGAGGGAAGAGAAGTGAGAAGGGACTTACCTGTTTTGATGAATTGTGGTGTTTGATTTCAATGCTTTAGAAAATTGGTTTTTGCCAGCCTCTCAGTAACTAAAGTCTCTGAACTTTCAAGTAGCATGTCTTTATAAAAAGAATATATAAAATACTTAAATGAAAAAAAAATGTTCATTGATGAGAATGTGTTTAAGCCCACACACAGTTTCAAAAAAAAAAAGTTAATAGTAAATTCGTACTTGGTACAGCATATAAAAGAAGAGCCAAGTGTGGGAGGCAGGCAAATTATCACAGATTTTGTGATTTTCATAAATAAAAGACTTTTTAAACATTCAAATCTGCTTTTTTCAAAAGTAACTTGCTATAAATATGATGAGTTTTGTTAAAACTAGGTTTAGATAAAAAATGGACTTGATGGCAGTTTCTTATCCAAAATCCATTCTAAATTATCTTACTTTTTTTTCCCCACAGCTTCCTCCTACTCTGAATTTTAACAACTTAACACACAATACAGTGTACAGATGATGTGTTGTGGAATCATGCACCTAAAACATATATAGCATTGTTAACCATTATCACCCCAATAAATTCAATAAAAAGTAAAAAAAAGAACACAATAAAAAACCATAAAATGAAGTGTTTGAATATGTATTACAGATGATATGGACTACTTAAAAATTAAAAAAAGATTCCAGATTGGTCATATATGTATGAATTACTATGAGTTCTCTTAAATCACTATGGTTCTCTGAAGACTGTCTAGCAGTGATCACTGGTGCAAATCTCAGATAATACGGTAATAGGAAGAAAGCTCTAGGAGAAATATACCAGAGCAAGGGTTGTAGGTGATGGAAAGTTTTTCCATATGCACATCCTCCACCCCTTTCAGAAAAAGAAGGGATAGACTATGTAGAAATGCTTTGTAACCAATTAATGAGTCAGTGTTGTTTTGCTGACAATAAGTCATTTTGTGTCAAAATTGTGAATCTTCAGAAATAAACTCAATTGTCCAGAAGCAGTTGGATGGCTCTGTGTGATTGAAGAGAACATAACTAGTAAAGACTATTGGAATAGTTTTCTGCTCAGAATTTCTCATTTTTGATAGGCATCATTCTGCAGAGCTTGGTGGTGAATCCATCTTACAAAACATGAAGATTTTGCTCACAGAGATAGAAAGAAGGGAGCTGGCCAATCATTATCTTCACTGTAATCTCACTTCCCAGCTCCAGCTCAGGGATACTTCCTAAGGATTCCCTGTAGAATCCAGATGAATCTAGACAGGGTCATCTACCGAACTGTGAACACTTTAAAGGTTCAGATTGTGTTCTTAGCACAGTGCTTTGCATGGAATAAATTATAGGAGAACTCAAAATGCATTGTTTTTTAAAACTTTATTTGTATAAACCTTGTTTTTATTCTTGACACTATTACAGATTTCCCTAGTTCCCCCTGCCTTTGCCCACCTCCACCCATCCCCCACCTCCCTTCCCTCTGGCCCTCACCACACTATTGTCTGTGTCTATGGGTTATTCATATCTGTTCTTTGGCTAATCTCTTCACCTTAATTTATTGTTTCAACATTTAACAGATATTTAAATGCATGTTGGTGTGATAAAGGATACTTTTATATAATGAAAGCACTATGATTTTATTTTTAGTGAATGTCTCTCAGTTCACAAAAGGCTTATAAAAGTTTCTATATTGTATTTTAAAACTAAATTTGCCTCTCTTCATTCCATCACAGTCCAATGTATATTTCATGTACTCCTTCAACTCAATGATCAAATTATACTTGTAATTTTATTAATTTTAAGTACCATGTCAAAAAGAACCATCATTTCTTTTTTAATATAAATTTGTAATAATTTTTATTTTAGTATTAAAATAGAAAGTAATACTATATTTTACTGTAAAATATATAAAATTTATTATAAAAGTACATAATTTTAATAGATTTTGTGGTATGAGGTGAAATAGCTTGCTTTTCTAAGATTATTTCCTGGTGATATTTATCTTTTATCCTTGACTATGGTAGTAATAAGAAGGGTTGTGTTTTCTTTCCATCAGCTTATTTTAATTACGAATTGTGTAAACAATGAACATTTTTATTTTTAGTGGAAAACTATTTCATAAGCATTAAAAGGCTTTATGATAACCTTTAAAAAGTTATTTAATGTTTATTTAACCTTTAAGAAGATTAAATTCATATCATATATATGTTTATATATATTATCCTTTCTTTTTCAAACTATTACAGACATGATTTCAGACTCTTTGGAAGCAATAATAACAGTTGTTAAATGACTAAATGAATGAGCTTCTACTTATAAGATTCTTGTCTCCTATAAAATTAATTTTTATATATTCCCATTGCTGGTGAATCAGTGTCATGATCTTTGCACAATATATTTGGAAACACATTTTTGGCACTAAAAGCCTATTTCAAATGGAATTTTAAAAGTACCGATGTTAAGCTCATAAATATGGAGACTGATGGTTGCCAGAGGTGAGAGGAGTTGAGGGGCTGGGTAGAAAAGGTGAAGGGATTAGTTAGTACAACTTGGCAGCTACAAAATAATCCTTGGGATGTAAAGTACAGCATAGGGAAGATAGTCAATAATACTGTAGTAACTATGCATGGTGTCAGGTGAGTACTAGACTTATCGGGGGATCACTTCATAAACTACATAAATATCTAACCACTACATGCTATACACCTGAAACTAATATAATGTTGAATGTCAACTGTAATTGAATTATTAAAAACTTTTAAATAGAACCAATTTCAAATCAAATTTCAGGAGGGCATGATTATTGTAGTAGCTCAATTATTGTTTTTGAATATCTCAAAAAAAAATGAAGACTAAAAAGATTAATAATACATTATTAACCTTAAAAGGATAAAGAATTCTTTAATCTTACTGAAACAATAATAATCTTGTTTTTGTTATATAATTATTCAAATAATTTGAGATGTTAGAGCAAACAAATAGTGTTTGGTAATAGGGTTCATTATGGGGAAACCCAAAGGTAAACTTGTATCCTTTGTTTTAAAAGCAAATATTTACATTATTTATGAAAAATGATATTTAAGTCCTACAACATAGAATTATGGGAGATAGCTGATACCATGGGAGTAAATACAATTATCCAGAGAGAGAGAAGAGGGGCAGCTCCAGGGTGCCACTGAAGGTTGTGGGTCTTTAAAGCACAAATATAATAAAATGAATATAAAAAGAAGTCTAGTAAGACACTGTTTGAGTGGTGATGTCAGCAAAAACAGTGGACTTCTATAAATTGTGTCCTCCATAAAAGCAGTAAGAAAACTGTCCAAAAATGTGATAACCAACTTTTTTAGAGCTCTGGCAATTAATCAGAGACTTGCAATAGTCCATGAAATAGTTTAATCAAGAAAAACATCTGAATCTTGGTCAGAACAGTGGGAGTTGTTTTATTGTAACTTGCCTTATGCTTGTCTCCCCTTCTCAGGCTTCAAGGGAGCACTGTAAACCAATAGCCAACAGTCGCTATAAAAAACAACCTGGTAGCTACGAGAGGGGGCAGAATGGAGTTTGAACTCCTTTAAAGCCTCATTCTTGAAGGGTTATTATTTGACTTGTGTGGGGTTTTCTGGAAGACCCCACTTTGCACGACTGCTTTATTTGAGCTAAGTTAGAGAGTGCCCAGTGTGAAAAGCTTTTTCCTGGGAATGTTTGTCAAAAACATTTAAAGAGGCAGCTTTTTTTGACTTCACGGTTACTGGAGGGTATTAGTGGAGGCAAACAACAGACTAACTAAAAAGCTTAAAAGAAAAAGCCATGGAATAATATGTCCTTAGAGGTTTGGAAAAGTTCCACATATTCCTGGGCAACTAGAGGGTCACACACATGTGAGCATGCCCAGTGTCATAGGCTAAATTTCCAAAGTTCATATGTTGAAGTCCTAACCCCCAATACCTCAGAATGTGACTTTTTTTTTGGAGATAATTAAGGTAAAATGAGATCATATGGGTGATGTTTTTTCCTTCAATAAAAGCCATAAGAATTTTATTGCAGATGAATTTTTGTATTTTCTTATGGCTGAATCATTAAGGATACTTTTAGCTAAAAACTGCAATTAGAAATCAAACTTGGGTACATGCAAAGTTTGAAAGCCTAATAATTTGTCTTTGTTTCCAGACTCAACAGAAAATAATATCACTTCTGACCTTGGGCTAAAAACTTATGAAACCTTATAATACTAACTGTAAACCTAAAAGACTTTCTTGTCATTATGATCACATTCATTGTATAGTATGTAAAGCTTTCCTTTTGGTTTTCAGAAGTATTTTTGCTTAGCATATTAATTTTATATTTGTAGGTAACAATTGCTAGGAAGATTTTTTTTTGGTAAAATCTATGGTGTATTTTTTTTTCTTATTTTTAGTTTGGTTGCAACAAAGGAAACAGATAGTGCAAGATCTAGAAGTGCACCAATGTCACCTTCTGACTTTCTGGATAAATTAATGGGGAGGACATCAGGGTATGATGCAAGAATCAGACCCAATTTTAAAGGTAATTGTTCTGCTTTCTACTATATAGTAAATGTGTTTTATTTTTTTAAATTAAAAATATGTTATTTATTGATTTCAGAGAAGAAGGGAGAGGGAGAGATAGAAACATCAATGATGAGAGAGAATCATTGATCGGCACGCCCCCTACTGGGGATCCAGCCCGCAACCCTGGCATATGCCCTGACTGGAATTGAACCAGTGACCTCTTAGTTCCTGGAAAGGATGCTCAACCACTGAGCCACTCCTAGCTGGGCATGAAATGTATTTTAAGTGTGATTAAACAAGATACATTTAAAAATTGATTCCACCAAAAATTCTGAAAATATAAAATATTCTCACTAACTACAATGGAATATTCTCACTAACTGGAATAAAAGCTTCTTGGAGCTGACAATAATGCTCCCATATTTTAAATCTTCCACAGCAGGGTTTTCTATATTTCAGAGAATCATATTGTTGTTGAGTTTATGTCCTGGGGAAGGGTCTGGATAAGTAAAGCCACTGATAACATTTTAAAAATTATTCTACCTACCAAATGTTTTACCTAAATTTATAGGAAAGAATTTTAAGGGGTACCATATTCAAGTAAAAATGAGAAATTTCAGTATTATGAGGATATTTTACAAAAGCAGTACCCTCCTATGCAAATTTGTCTTTAATAATATTACTGCTTATGCTGGCATTGTGTCATTCTCCAAAATAATTCTCTCTTTCTTTAAAAACAAAAAGAAATCTGATTTCTTCTATCGTCTGTCTCAAACATACTCCCACTCATACCCTTCATTCTTATTTGTTTCCTCTAGATTTAAGGAGAATTGTTTAGATTTGTCCTCTAAACACTCTTGGACATGACATAGTGTCCTGGGTATTCTTCGGGAATGTTTAGGAGCATTTTAATTCTATAATTGTATTATGGTCTCTTCACAGTCCTCTTTATCCTAAACCATTTCCTTGGATGTGAAGTCATAGAGGTAGGTGGTGTCACAGGTTGCTAGGCAGATACTATTTTGTATGCTAGGTGTTTGTTTTATTTATGAAAATAGCGAAAACCATGTATCTGAACTTGGCAAACATTAAATTGTTTAAATATGTTAGTGATGAAAAGCAGCAGCTCCTTGCCTCGACAATCCTTATGTACGGTTCTACTTCTTTGAAGTAAACACTCCAAAAGTAAAATTGGTTAATTTCTGGTGAAATATGTTTGATTGCTTTCTGGGACTTTTACACACAAGGCATTATGAGATGCCTTTGCACTAACTAGACTGCTAATTTAATGCCTCCATTCTTACATTCCATCTTTTCTGTTTCCCCTTTCTGCACAATCATCTCTTTTCTTCCTGCAGGGACAATTATGTTAATTCATCGTAGCTCTCTTTAAGCCCCTAGTTTTCTTATAGAGCATTGAAGAAAAACACTGCATAGTTCAGGAAGGATTGAGTTGATGTGCCTGGGTGCTAAGACAGGTTTAGTCTCTCTCTCTCTCTCTCTCTCTCTCTCTCTCTCTCTGTGTGTGTGTGTGTGTGTGTGTGTGTGTGTAGGGAGGTGGTTTCCTGTTACTTCTCTCTCTGGAAAGGACAATCTGACAGAGACATCACTGCCCCGGCCAGCACGCTGCTTTTAGTGAGTGCTGAGTGCTGACGAAGCTTTGGTCTGAGCTCCTCCAGATGCCAAAACAGAGAAGGCTGTAGTTTTGAGTATTGTCATGGAGCCTGTTTCCCCAATCAAAAACGTTATTTCCCCTCCTTTTTTTTTTAACTTCTTACAAACAGGAAATGACTAAGTTCTGAGGATCAGATGCACAGCACTGTGACTACAGTTAATAACGCTGCATTTTATACTTGCAAGTTGCTAAAAGAAGAGATTAAATGTTCTCACTACAAAAAAAAAGTAATTTTGTGCTGTGATGGAGCTGTTAGCAAATGCTGCGGTGTAATCATACTGTGATACAGAAGTGAATCAAATCAACACATTGTGTACCTTAAACTTGCACAATGTTATATGTCAATTATCTATATATATATAAAAGCCAAAGTGACTGTTAGGACCAAATCACCAGAACAACTGGTTGACTGGTTGCTATGATGTGCACTGACCACCAGGGGGCAGACGCTCAATGTAGGAGCTTCCCCCTGGTGTTCAGTGCGCTCCCACAGTCAACCTCCCATGGTCCCTCCCCCTGGCCGACTTTGATTGGCGCCAATTGGGACTGGGCGAGATGGCCCCAATTGGCCCTGATCACCAGCCAGGCCGAGGGACCCCACCCGTGCACGAATTCATGCACCAGGCCTCTAGTATCTCAATAAAGTTAGAAAAAGAAGACAAAAAGTCAGCACTCGTTAACAGAACCATACTATTTCCAATCACCTTAATAAACTATGTTTGCAAAACTAAAACCAAAAAGTTATTTCCATTCCTTCAAAAATGCTATAGGGCTAAACCCCAGGACTACCCCTGCCTTACAGGAATATGGATGAGAGTAGGGAGCTTTCTGAGACAGGTGCTGCCTGTGGTTTCTCCCTACAGGCCCTTGCAGCTCCTCACTTCCTTTCCTATAGATGACCTTAAGCTTTGTGCCTCCCTGGGTCATTCTTTTTTATTATTAAATTTATTGGTGTGATAGTGGTAAATAAAATTACATAGGTCTCAAGTATACAATTCTATGATACATTATCTGTATATTGCATTGTGTGCCCACCACCCGAAGTCAATCTTCATCTGTCACCATATACTTGTCCCCTTTACCCTTTACTACTCCCCTTCCCCTTCCCTCTGGTAACCACTATAGTACTGTCTGTGTCTGAGTCTCTGTTTGTTGACTTGTTCATTTGTTACTTTCAGTCATATCCCACATATAAGTGAAATCATGCTTCTTGACTTTTTCTGTCTGCCTATTTCCACCTAAAAAAAAATCTGAAAACATTTATTCACAAAGATATGTGCACCTCTATGTTCACTGCGGCATTATTTATAGTAAACATGATATGGAAGCAACCTAAGTGCCTGTCAATATATCAGATAACGGAGGTGTGGCACATGTATACAATGGAATACTACACAGCCATAAGAAAGGATGGAATACTGCCATGTGTGACAACATGAATGGATGTTGAGAATATCATGCTAAGTGAAATAAGTCGGACAAAAAAAATCAAGATCCCTGGGTCATGCTTAGCCCATTAGCTCCCTTCTCCATGTAGTCCTAACCTACATTTATTTTAGGCTTTGCTCTGTTTTCTTCTTCCTTTTATATTTTGTCATTAAACTGAAGATGAATTTCCACCCATTCTCTTTGGTATTAGATGTTTGTTTCATTTTTATTTGGTAATAAAAATTTTATGTCTTCAGAGAGAAAGAAAACTGTTTAATCCCCCTCTTGAAATAGAAGCGTCCAGGAGTCCTTTGGTATTAGAAGCCTATAAAAGTACATCCATAGATGATAAAATATTATTTCACAGACTACTTTACCAGCTTTTTCTGAATTTTACTTCTTTCCTTTGATCCTCTTGTTTGGGCCCTCAGTTGATCTTTGATAACCCTTGAGTCTAATTTGGATCCAGGCAGAAAGTACTCAGTGGGCAATTACCTGATTATGTCTTCCTCCCAAACACTGACTGCATTTTTTTCATTCTATCTCCAGTGGCCTTTATCTAGAAATAACATTGTTTGCCTTCCAATGTCTTTGTGTTTTATGTCTTTTCATCTGTAATAGTTCTCTATATTAATCCCTTTCTCCCACATCACAAATTCTGTTTTTAAAAAGCCATTTCTGCTACAACACATTCTATCCACAGAATGGCATGTGTACCAGTACTCATTTCCTGCCTGTATTTTTTTTCAGTGAAAGTGTTAACATTTTAACTATTTATATCTACCCAGACACTGTTATTCTTGAATATAATTCACAATTAACTTTTAAAGGCATGTCTTCGACTTGCATTTTTACATAATATATGGTCCTTTTACCAAGAAGAATCTCTAATAATAAGTCTTTCTAAAATTGTAGATGTGCACCTGGAATATTCATAGATTTAGATTCTGCTTTCTATATTTTTAGGTTTTATTTTATTTTATTTTTAATGTATACTTTCTGTAATATTTACATGGGTTTTTTTCACTTCTAAACACTCTCAAACAGAAGATTTGCAAATATTGCACTTAGCTATTTTCCCCCCAAACTCCTTGAAAGTAAGTTGTTGACCTGGTGCCCCAATACTTGAGTGTATCATATAAATGAGAACATTCTTCTAAATAACCACCATCTACCCATCAAAACAAGCAGATTAACATGGATGTATTGTTACCACCTAATTTGTGGACCCCACTCAAATTTTATCAATTCTTTGAATAATGGCTTCATTGCAAATGAAACAATTTGGAAATAAAATTGATCTAGAATAAATCTTGTATTTTATTCATCACTTATCACATTGTCTCCTTTAATCTGAACCTGAAGATTATTCTTTCTATAACTGTCATGATGTAGGCACTTAAAAAATATTATTCCTTTACTGAACAGAATGTACCTCAGTTTTCATTAGTCTAATGTTTCCTCATGATTTGGTTTAGGTACTACATCTTGACAGATATATCACAGAAGTGATGCTATGTTCTTATCAGATGGTGGACCATCTTAATTTTTATTATGACTGGTGGTATTTACTTTGATTAATTGGTTAGGTTGATACTTGCCAGGATATATCTTTATACATATACATATATGCATAAATACACATATATACATACATACAAACACACATATATGCATATTCACACATTGTATATGGGAAACGTATATACTTTTTACGTTGACTGTAAGTAGTAGAGCCACCTGTTACTACCCGCAAACAATGTGTTCATATATATTAATTTACATCTAAATATTTACTTCTTTATTTTTTAAATATATTTTTATTGATTTCAGAGAGGAAGGGAGAGGGAGAGGGAGAGAGAGATAGAAACATTAATGATGAGAGAGAATCATTGACCGGCTGCCTCCTGCAC